ATCGGCGAGGTAAGCCGAAGATGGTGCATGCCAACAGGTTTTGGTGTTGTCACAGTCCAGGACATTTCAGTTGAAACGAAATGAACAACAGAACAAATGGCGCTGCTGAAGACGTGTCACCTGAAAGAGCCAGTGTTGAAGAAGAAACTCTACCCGGTTTTTTGGAAGGAAAAACAGTGAAGCCGTTAATGAAGTTACTACCACTGATGTGACTGTTACCAATAATGGGACACTTCCTGATGGAGCAAATGAATCCCACGTAAAGCAGAAGCCAATAAGACGGAGACCAGTACGAAAGAAGAAACGTCCTGTTAAATTAAGAGACTTTGTTGTATTTTAATTTTGTTTGTAAATTCTGTACATTTAATTAAGTTATTGTTAATTATCTATTGGTTTAATGTAAGTGGCTATTGTTCGGGACGAACAATACTAAGGAAGGTGCAGTGTTACGACAGCGGAAGTCACATGACGCTGCTGGCGCGTTTGGAGCTGGTAGCGTGCATGAAATTTCTCGAATGATCATGAATTATCGGGCAAGCCCGAGTTTGTTCAAGACGCCCTCTTTTTTTTATAAACCTGGCAGGGAAATCCTGCGTGATTAAATGATTCCCGGTAATTTACGATTCTGTTTCGAGCTAGTGTGTGTGAATCGCTGTGATTTATAGCTGTTTCATCAGTTTCACCACTATTAAATATATTTCCGGCAAGAAACGCAATAATATCTCGTGAGGTTTCGCCATGTTAGGATATTTAGGTTACATCTAAATACATATATTAAGTAAACAATGGAAACAATATTTATAATAAAAGTATACTAATAAAAAAATATTAAGTTAAAAAAATAGTGACATTAGATCTACTAAACTATATGACGGATATTGATAATGAAAGTAACTATATATAAACAGTATAATATATTTTACTTAGGTAACATAGAAATACTAAATGTTGGCTCGAACTACTGTTGTAGAAGTAAACATCTTTGAAAAGTGTAACGTTAATATAACATGCCTGTTTTTCTCCAGTTCTACCTAAAATAACTTTTGACCGAAGAAAACTCATTAAGCCACTCCTACTGTGCAACGTTAGAGAAGAGTGATATTGTTGCGTCAGCGAAGTCACATGACTAGTGTCACGCCACGTTTCTAGAACTATCCTGTACCTTGGCGAATGCTCTAGCATTTACTAGATATAGAGTAGTCTGGTATATAAAAGAGGGTGACAATGTGACGGGACAATAATATGTGTGAAGGTAGTGAGTAATTGAACTGCAGTCAGAGAGAGACGTATTGTTGAAGTTCGTTATAGCGTTTGTTTTAGCGCGAATGTTGGAATCAAGTGTATCGTAAAGTTATATTCAGAAAGAATAAACCAGTTTTATTAAGTAAGGACTTGTGTCGCTAAAGTTTCGTCGGAACGAAGTTACGGAAAGTTAATTAACAAACGGAGACGTAACAATATCTATGACAACTTAGAAGAAGCATATTACTGTTTAAAATGTGTAGAGTTAGTATCAGTAATTTTCCCATAGTACAACAAAATTTTAATGTTTAACAAAATAAGAAAATAAAATAATACTTGAACTATCCATGAAAATATAACAATAATATATGTAATGCAAAGAAAAACAACATATTAAACGTAATATGTAGTTTGTCTAAAACACTAAAACTCGTAATTTAATTATTCTCTGTAACAAACACATAACGTTCGCTACAGGAAGTAATGAAGAGCCTTAAATCTTCTGCAAAAGCCAAAAAGGAAACACGGCATGTCTCTACAATGTTCAATGATAACAGTACGACTTAGATGTGAAATCAACAATACTCATTAATATGGGAAAGAAAGTAATCATAAAATATGGTAACTAAACTTAATATTAACTATATATGATAATAACTTAATATAACCGGAGGTAAAACCAATGGTGATCAATACATTAAAGGGGTTCTCTATTATATTATGCCAACCATTAACTTGTTTATAGTTTTAAGCTAGGTAAAATTATTATAAATATTTTACCTGTAACTGAAGGGTTCGATCTAAGAGTGCCCCTCCCCTCCTCCAATGGTTCAGCTGTAAGTCTGTCAGCTTATAGCGATAAAAACCTGGTTTCGATACTCATTATGGCCACAGTACAATATTCCATTGCAGTGACATGCACAGGGGTGGTTGGGTGGGTTCAAACCCCTTGCTTTTTGTCCTTATACCTTTAAAGTGCTCTTTTTTTCTGTCATCAAAATTATTAACAACCATGAAAAGAGACATCTGATTCTACACCTTGCTTGCTGCAAGGTATTAGAAAAAAAATAGATTGCAGCTTTAAAATAAATGGAACACAGAGTCGTGTAGGACTTTTCAGTAAAAAATAATAATAATTGTAATACGCTATTAAGTGTTAATACGCAAAAATTCGCTGCTTAGTTTTAGATCATAAAATTGCTTATAAGACCAACTGAACAGAAATAAAAGAGCATCTGTTTGTTTCTTATGGATTTTTACCCAATGTGTAATAGAGGCAACCCAAATTCCCCATAGTGTACTCTAGCCCCGCCCCATCAAAAAGAAAAGGGGGCTTGCTTCACGATGCTCGAAAAGTGTCCTTTTTTTATTGATGAACCTCTGCCTTTTTAATGTGTTTTGTGCATTATTGGGCCACTGTGTAGCTTTGTGCTTAACAGCAAAAAAAAAAACAAAAAAACAAAACGAATAAATCAATATAGGATTAAGTATCATATGTCATGTGTTTTGTAAATCATAAAAGAATTAGAGCAACTGTCGAGAGAAAAGTAAAGTATCCAAATCTTCTTGATCATAACACCGGACAACAAACAATTTGCTAATGGAGAAAACCCGAGTGATTCGGGGTAATTTGATGCTGCTGATTTCAAAATTCCAGTCAGAATTTGTCCACTAGATTTTGTGTTATTGTAATATCTCAATATTTTATCAGCACTGTGTGAAATATCATGCAATCAACTCAGTACAATAAATTTATGCTGTGAAATTAAGTTTACTTGGACATTTTAATGAGCAAAAGGCATACATTTTTTATAATTTCAAAAACTGACTGCATTTGATTAGTGTAAACTTTCTAATATATTCTTCATATATGCTCTTTGTTCTCGATGTGACTGTAACGAATTACACCACTTTTGCTTCATTCCCATGCTAACCTGCTACGCCCGGGAATCACGAAACCCTCACGTGCTCAGTTTGCTAGAACATTCGATAAGTCCCTCGACTGAGCATAAAAATGGCGGAGTCAGACAACTCTTTCTCAGTTGCCTCTCATTCACTTTGTTTGTCACTTCGCCTCGATCGGCGCTCAGTCAAAACAAAGTCCGATCTTCTTCCTCACATCATGTACCCACAATATAATCAAATTTCGCAAAACTTTCTTTTTTAATCTTTTAAATTCTAGTTCTGTAAACATAAATTCTTTTATGTTTTTTGGAAAGTCATTTGAAGTACTGGATGCCTCCAGTTGAAATAAAGTCTAAAAGTGCAATAATCACCCAAAGAATTTTTTCTACATTTCTGAAAAATACATTACACTTTCACAAAGGTAAAACATCACACACAAGGTAAAGGTAGCTTACTAACACTATTATGAGTTTAAAATTGGTGACCAAGAAAAGCATTGGGCTCCATATGTGTGTTGTACAGTTTGCATATTAGGCTTGACACACTGGCTGAAAAAGGAGAGAGCAAGTATGCCGTTTGCAGTTCCCATGACATGGCGTTAGCATAAAAATTATCTAACTAACAATTATTTTTGCATGACTAATGTTTCTGGATAATCAGGCAAAACTAAACAATGCATTAAATATCCAGATAATGCATCTGCAATGAAATCAGCACGTCATAAAGATGGTCTTCTAGTGCCACATCCACCAGCTAATTGGGAAACAGATGAGTTCTCCTGTAAAGAAGATATTGAATCATCTTCATCCTCTTCTTCTAGTAATTATATTTCTGTGGCACCTCAATATAAACTGCCTCATCTGATCACACTTAGAAGAACTAAATGATCTGATTCATGACTTTTCGTTTTAATAAATCTATGATAACTCGAAAACCAAAGGTAATCAATAATTTTCAACATTATTTTTAGAATCAGCATCGTCAAATTACTCATAAATAGTTGCCTTTTTTAGTAGCAGAAACATGTTTTTTTTTGTTTGTTTTTTGTCAGGTGTAAGTGGAACTAATGTATTGGCCAATCATTTTTACATAATTCGACATAACAAAAGTTTTTGTCAATTTTTAATTCACTTAAACTAAGCTGCGAAAATATGCAAACAGTGCATTTTGAACGTTTGCCTTCAAAATATCATGTGGTGCGAAAGGAGTTCTGCATTTAATTGATTTTGCATCAATATTTGCCACATATAAACGATAGGTGGCGCTAGGCACAACTTTACGAGTTATGTTTAGGAAATAATAAATTCGTTAGTATGTGAAGGTGACTGTCTTCATTTATGTTTATATACTATTGTTCCCAGTTCAATTAAAAACTGAACTTTAGAATGACTTTAGAAACTCAAAAAGAGGGCTCAAACTCAAAGGATGCTGTTGGTAATGGAAAAACCAAAACTAACGCGGCAAACATTACATCTACGAATCATCCAGGCCCTGGTACGAATACTAGTAATACTATGACTCGACAACAACGTTTTGAACGAGAGAGGAAAGAGAAGAATTTTCAGACTAAGGTGAAATAGATTTGTCAGTCTCACTTCATAAAAATGTACCTTAATGAGTGCTGCTATATGGTTTATAGAAAATTAATTTAAAATACTAAAAATGTGCGTATAAATATAATTATAAATAACATACTGAAGCTGTTTACTAGTAGTAGTACTACTAGTGTTAATACTCGATACTTCACCTTATCAAATCAACAATTTGATTTTTTAATGAATTTTTGTTTTAAAGTCAGTACAAATTACAAGGACAGCATAAGGTCTTGAAATTCTTTTTGTTTGGAAAAAAGAAGAATTAGAGGGGATCCGATTGAGGTTTAAAATTCTTTAGGTAATTCATAGTTTGCAAAAGAAGAGTTAGAGGGGACCTGGTTGAGGTTTTTAAAATTGTAAAGGGAATTGATAGTGTTGATGTATCATCTTTTTTTTTATACTTAACTGTGATAGTAGTAAGACTATGGGACACAAATATAAATTTTGGCAAGGTAGGAGTAATCTTCAGCTAATACAATTTTATTTTTCTAACAGAGTGGTTGGCCTACAGAATGGATTACCTCCAGATGTGATGGATGCAGTAAATTTAAGGGAGTTTAAGGGAAGGTGTGCTAAATATTTGAATGATAAGGACTGGATTTGAGCTTCTTTTTTAAGTTTAGTGGATGAAGTGGTCTAGATGGAACAATAATCTTTTTGCCCTTAAATTTTGCATTATAACAGAAAGCTATTAAGTCCATTGAAATTACTCTTCATACAAACTTAAATATAGCTCTTTACATCCATATACATGTCTAACAGAATTTTAAAGCACAAACCATGTCATCAGGCTAACTATCACATAAATATATAAGTTTAATCCAAAAATTATTTATATAACTATAAGAACAAGTCTCCATATGAGCTTCCAAAACTTAAACCAGTACTTTTAATATTCAGGTTTGTGAACCTTTTCTTTCCACCACTTAAACAGACATTTCATAGAATAACTATCGAACTTCTAAAAAATTTGAACATCTGAATCAAGTCTTTCATAATTTGTCTTGCTCCTAAAAAGTTAGCTTTAAACTCTGAGCTTCTCCACATATTTTAATTGACTTAAACAAGAAGCATTTTTAACAGCTTCTGTTTTACTTTTCCAAAATGTTGATATTCTTTGTGTAGCAAAGAGACCAAAGCTTAACAGACTACTCTAAATGAGAACCTACTAGAGTTTTGTACAAAGTTCCCAAGTTTTTTTTGTAATTCAAAATCCCTAAAAATCATGCCAAGAACCATGTTTGGATTTTTTTTCATAGTTAAACAATCAGTGTTTTACGAACATCAATGCACCTCTCACACAAGAAGTAATCTTTTCCAAATTTCCTTACCCTAAATATATAACTTTCTCATCCATGTTTTAAAACTCATCTCCTACACATTGATTCACTGACTAAGATTTAAAGGTCACTTGGTAAAAGTGATGAATTTTTAACAATAAAGCTCTTTCTAGCATTTTAATATCATCCATAAATATAGGAGTATTAACTGCCAAAAATTGTATTCATAGCAGTAATGTAAATGATGAACAACAGATGCTAGGAGACCTCGGTTGTCACATTTTCATATTGAAAAGAAAAATGTATATATTTATGATCACTGCTTTAAACCACTAATTAAAATTTCAGTCCACTTGACATTTTCTTCAACTCTACAAGCATCCATGCTACTAATGAACATCCACTGAGGTTCCTTATTTGAAAAACTTTCTGAAGGTGAATGTATGCAACATCATTTGGGATGCTTTATCCAAAAGGATGGAGGCCCTACCTAAAACTCAAACTAATTATTAAAACACTTGGACTTTCAAAATACTTTTGACTTGGTGATGCGTAAGAGACTTCATAAGAAGAGTGCATCTGTTGGGACAGAAAATAATTACTTGGATGGTAGAGTGGAAGGCAGAAGTCTGCTATTAATGGGGTTGAGTTATAGTGGATTAATGTTACAAGTGGTGTACCTCAGGTTTTACTCTGGATTCTTTGCTTTTTCTCATTTTCAGTGATGACTTGTTAAATTTACAGATGACATGAAATTGAAGGGTATTTAAAGTTGTACTGATGATACTGTAGTTTTGTAGAGAAATTTGAACTTTGATGAGCTGTGCTAACATGTGCCACGTGCCTTTTAATCTTAGTAAAACAGATTATATGCATAAAGTTGATATGATACACTAATCTAGTATGTATCAGTTATATAAAACAGTTTCAGTACCTCATACATAGTTCATAATCATAGCTAACATTTCTATTTTTCATTTACTGGTACACCAACTCATCATAAAATTGAAAGTGTAATGCATTGCATATATCTTTGTATAGAGTGTTTGATGTTATTTCTTTTAGATAAATATAAGAATTTTGATTTCTAGTTTTGAATACTGCACATAATTAATTGCTTGGAACATACATTGTCTCTGTATATCATGCCCAAAAAAGGTTTGGTCTGTTCTTAAAGTTAAAAGTTAATTGTTACTTTTAGGTGTAGGAATTTCATATATTGGAAAATGATTAATTTGTGTAGTATGTTGATGCGTTATATACATGAAAATGTTTTATTAGAATAGAGGCAAATAATGAAAATTGGCAATGTATTTTTAATAATGTATAGAACTATCTGAAATTTTTATAAATGCAACACCATTTTTATGATGCATATGAACTTTGAAACAGTTTTAAATAAAGTGTTTTTCTTCTTTCAGGTTGTTATCAGGAGGCTACCACCATCCATGAGTGAAGAACAGTTTCTAGATCAGATCTCTCCGGTACCAGACTATGATTACATGTATTTTGTAAAAGCAGACCCTAGGCAAGTCTTTGTCACACTTTCATTGAAACATTGCGTGTACTTGTGTTTGTAACAGATAGTTTGGCCCAACAAATAAAGCATTTGTCACAAATACAGTAAAAGATATAAATAAGTTTTTTGGGCTACTTATATGTGAATTGAGTTAATTTTTTTATATTTTTGCTTAAATATTAATAATTTTAAATATTAACATAGTAATTATGATTTGATTTTATTACAATTGATGTCTTGAAAATATAATCATTACATTTATTGCATAGATATAGTTTTGTTAATGAAAAAAAAATCAACATCTTTTAAACTAAACAAAGGTTATGAGGAAATTAAACACAGTGGGAGATATTAAAGCAAGCTGTACATGTACATTGCATGTGCATTTTCAGTAGTACTTGTACATTTAGCTATGTTAATGTTTCAAGCACTAATATCATGTCTTTTGAAATAGAAATTAATTTAAAATGTCATGATATAAAAGACTGTTTAGTTTAGATATTATTGATTAATTTATTTTGTGAGCGAATATTTTATTATTGTTTAATTTTTGTTATAATAAGTGTTAAAAGCAGATGATTGTCGGAAGTTGTATTTATATATCTTTATGGAGTAGTCCTGAAAGAAGTTCTTTTTTAACCCTTTCACAATGGCTAGGCCAAAGTTTGCATGTCATAATCTTTTTTTTTTGCATTACATTCATATATTATCAGTGTATACAAATAAACTTGGCACCAAAGCATAGTTAATAAATCAAATTTTAATATTATATAAGTTTTAAGATTTTAATTTTATAAGGAAATATTTTTTTAAATCCTCAATCTCCCCTAGATTGAGAATTGTGGCATTTGTTCTATAGGTCTTCTCTTTTCTCTAATTTATTTAACACCCCTCCGAGAAGTATGAAATTTATAGTAAATTACTTATCATTATATAGATATTACTCGGGCAAAGCCCAATTTTTATAGCCTTCAATCCTATTTGCTTAAGGAGCCATAAACTTGCTATGCCCACCTATCACATACTCTCTTTCACAAATTGCCAATAGTTCTCTCTGATGTTCTATATTATATTATTTATAACCAATAGAAAGCCAAAGTTTCAACCTATCAAATTACATATATTATGTTGTTTTCTGTACAAGATATTGTGTATTTTGTCATTCGGTTTCAAATATTTTCTCATGGGAATCACATTAACAAGTTTAGCTGAAATTTTAAAGGCTCTTATTGCATAGTTAGAAAGCCAAAAAAATTGCAATGGTTTTGGATGTTATTACTCTGTGTTCTTAGGTGCATTACATAATTAGATAAAAATTATTTAGTGTAGTAGTACCATTAGTATAAACAAATAGGTATACGTTTCACTGACAGTCAACAGCAAAAAAAAAAGACGAAGACCCAGGTAAGTACCATATTTCTTGTTTCTCATGTGTAATCTTTATTTAGAATTATAAAAGTACTAAAATGTGAAGGTTAGAAACTTGTTAGGTTTGATAAGATTAGATTAGGTAAGATAATGAAAAAATAATAATAATAAAAAATTATTCACGAGGTATGCATGCAAGCAGTTTGTGTATTATTTCATTCAATGTGGTAACTTGAGTTACACATTCACTGAGTAATTTACAACTTGTGTGGTGGGATTATTAGTTAGGCATAGTTCAAAGGTCAATAAAACGATAAAGTTAAGTATAAATAGATGTATAATGTTATGAGCTTAAAGTTATTTAGGATAAATAGTTATGGTTTCCTTTAACAAGTTGTAGTCATTCTAGAGAAAAAAAAAAAGGATAGTTTAGATTAATTTTCTGATTTTTATGGTGGTTAGGAGGTTGGTCAAATAGACTGGCCCCATATAGTTATGATAGAGAAAATAACAGATAAAATATAAAGTTTTTTGGAAAAAAAATATGTTTGATAGTTATATAGGAGATTGTATTGATTACATAAATTAAATTTTAAAATTTTCAGATTAGAAAAAAGGATTTTTAATTTTAACATGAAAATCACTTTTCACTTGGAATAGTCAACACTCTGACTTCATATATTTATAGAAAAAATTTTTAGTAAAAATACGTAGTGGAAAATTCTGATTTTTTGTCTACAAAAACCTTGTAATGTTTACCAAAAACTTGCCAAATTTTGTGGAGATACATTAAGTACTTTCAGACTTATAGTATGTATACTACCATGGTTACGTGGGGGTTAAAAGGTTGTGTAAAAGACATGAGCCCATTGAAAGTTACCAAACTTAAATGATTTATTTTGATAATCTTAGTATATAAAGGCAATATTTCAAGAGACACCAGGACTGCTATTACAAGATCTTGAAAAATAAGAAGTTATATTACAACAAGACATATTTTTAAAAACAAGAAAATACTGTTATAAGAAAATAAAAAATACAATTTGACTTGTATTGTTTTTTTAAAATACATATAATTGAAATTAGGTATACAAAAAGATATACAGATTAGAATTTTGAAGTTAATCGTTAACTTTTTATGGTCATATATTTAACCTCTAAGTCATCTTTAGAACATCAATATCAAAATTCCAGTAGAGCTATGATGATACGTAAAGAATTATTGAAACTTTCTTCAATGACTAACTGTAGGGCTGTAAGGAAGGGTTTGAGTTTTTGAAGGTGTTTGAAATGCATTACTGAATGAAGATTTGAACCTTCGATAATACTAGTTTGCACAATTTATTATTGACATCACCATAATAACTAGAAAATATTTGATTGAGAAACATTTTTATTTTACAGATGATACATATAAGTGAAATAAAATGTTCATGTATAGTTTAAAAATATGTTATGTATAACTGTAATAACATTTTTATATATTCAGGAATAATATAAAATGAACATTATTTATGTACACACAGTTGATACTTTGTGTGACATTCATTTAGCTATATACAGTAAGCTTGCATTGCAAGAGTCTCCTTCCTATTGCAGCCAGTTAAAAAAACTGCAACTAACTTAAGCAAAACAAATCTATTTAATAGTCAGTTCCAAGCAGATTAAGAGTCTTTTTTTAACATAAAGTTGTTGATCAATTAAACACACCTAATGAATAATAATAATAAATAGCTAAACAAAACAGAGTAACACCAACAGTTAAATTAAAAATTAAATATGGACCTTTTAAAAAAGGATACAAGAGAGGGTGTTGTTGTTGTTAGTCACATTTTGTTTTAACATCATTGTTGATTAATAAAGCATGCACCTTGGTGAGGTGGGAGGGGTGTAGAGTTACACTAGTGCTCCTTTTTCAATGTTAAAATTATAAGTGCTGATTGTATTTTACCTTTCATATTTATTCGAATATAACATTTCTCTTACGTCTTATACGCTAAGCATTCAGTACATTTTATTGAAGCAATACAGCTTCTAAATGCCCTTCTCCCCTTCCAATGCTTTACCATAATTGTCTGCTCCAGTGCATGGAAGGTGTTATTTATGATTTTAGTGGTGTTTGTATGTGTTTTGTTTATACAACTTTTGTTTAGTAATGTACATTGTACAAATCAAAAGATCAAATTTTCCATCCGAGTGACATTAAATGTGTGATTATTATTCAAACGTCATCAATTGGTTTCTTTTAACAAGCTAAAAGAAATTAATATATGACACTGCTTCAATGCCACCTGGTTAACCTTGAATGTGTATATCTTCATATTCCTTTCTAGAAAACACAGCCCTAAATTCAGGGGCGTCGAGAGCCAGCTCAGGCCCCAGGGTCAGTAATATCATCAGGCCCCTTTTTCATTCTATCTATTAATTTTTGCTGATTTTTCATAAGAAAATTTAGGTGACAAATGTCTTCATGAAAAAGCAATAGTCATTTTAGCTCATTAATTATTGTGCATTTCTAGCAAACTTTGGAATATCCCACTGCCGGTCTCTGGGGCAGCTGCCCCCCTTCTTGTCAGCAAAATAAGCTCTATAAGCATATATGATCTCTACACAGCTATACAAAACAATTATACATTTTTTATAATTTTTTTATGCAAAACCTTTCTGTGAATAGGCAAATTAACAGTTTTCAATTAAAATTATGTAAACTATTTCATTATAATAATATGATCCCAAGTAACTCAGTGATAATCTTCAGGGTTTATACTACTAGAATTTGGCAGACACGGAAAAATGTCCCAGTGTACAGGTTTACTCTAAATAATTATGATAATGTGAAAAGGAAACTTAGTTCATGATTTGATGGTGTATGATCAGAATTTGTGTTTTTAATTCCAGATAGGAAGAGGATCAATATCTGATTTATTGAAGTTATTATTGTATACCTAAATGAACACTATTTGAAGTTACTTTGCTTCTAAAATGAACTGTTAAGTTTTAGTTCATCAAAATGTACATAACACAATTTAGTACATAGTTTTATGTAAATTATGAAAAACAAAAATGTTCACTGGATGCCTGAAAGCAGCTTTTACATGTTTAACAGGACACACCAGAAGAATCTAAGTTATTCAACAAATCACATATTTTGTGACACATGGTAAAAATCTGGAAAGTATAATCAAACTGCACTGTTAGTTTGGTGCATCGGTAAACAGTTTAGAATTACACATTCCAAAAATTTTGTTAATTGGTTATGAAATAAAACAGCACATGGTACATTTGCTGCAAAATTTTAACAAAATAAGTGTAATTCCTCACAATCATTCACATGTGGAATCAAAGAATAATGTAGGGACTTCAAAGAATATACTCCATGAAGCATGAAGCATACATATTTATACAAGTTTATGACATACATGAAACACAGATGTGGCTGTATATTAACCACACAACACCCATTTACCACTTGAATGTTAGACTGTTTGTTCTAATAGGCAAGATGAAGTGTTATGCAACTGTCTTTATTTACTACATGTATATAAAAAATTGTCAATTTTGATACAAACATCCTTTAGAGATTTTAGCACATTTGTTGAATAGTTTCCTGTGGGCTATTCCTGCCTTTTAGCTGGTTTTAGATATGAAGTTTGGACTCTGTGCTGAGTTTTTCATATTACGAAGAACATAAGACAGAGTCCAAACTCGAACAGAAGCAGTCCATAGGAAACTTCATTTTACTGCACTTCTTTGCATTATACAGTTGAAGTAGCTTGTTTCTCAAGTTTTTAGACATTGCAGCTTTTTTATATTAATACATATTGCTTTTACAAAAAGAAGTATTAATCATAAAGTTTAACATAAACTCCAATTCTTGTACATTGGTTTTTGGGATTTAAAACATCAAGAATTTCTTAGTCATTCAACTGAAAGTGAATTAAAAAACATTGTAACACTCGGTCTGGTTTGTTTCATTGCTTTTGAACTAATTATTTATTTATTTTTTCATAAGGAAGAGCATGGAGCTTTCTTAAAATCATTACAGTAATCTTGAGGGTTGTATGAGAATTTCTCTCAAGTCTAACAGAGTTCAATTATGAAAGCTTACTAATTACAAGTAGTATAACTACTTAATAAAAGCATTTTTTATACATACTGAAGTATTTATAATGTGTTTTGCAAAGTTATTTCTTTTGTAAAAACTACAATCTTTTATTGTATCTTTACAGCATGGGACAGTTTGCCTTCTGTAGAGCTT